GGTCCTCGTTTTCACTGGCAGCCTGGCACAGCGTCGTGGTAGAAGCCAGCCATTGTAAGGTGCTCTGCACTGAATTTTGCGACTGGCTTTCGGTGGGTGCTGACCGGCGGGCTTCTCTTTAAATGGTTGCTAGACTTTAACTGCAACAAGCTCAGCTCATGATGTGAAGGAGCTTGAGCCCATTGTCGGCGTGCGGATATCACACAAAGTCATCTTGAACAGTACCTCTGAGTGCCCCAAGTTGCTTAAGACACTCGGCTGACATAAAGGCCGCATCGGCATTCTGAAGAGAGCGTCCTGTAGAACCCTGCAGCATCTTTTCGAAATGGCCGGCAGATCCTGTGGCGTCTGCTGAGCAGACTGGCAAAGCATTATCCCAATCAGATTCGTGCATTGATGCCCGGTGACCCTGCCCAGAGCCGATGGCACGCATCCTGAACCTTGGAAACCTCATACTATCATGTTTAAGGATACTTATATATATATATATATACATGTATACACTTTTACGCGTGTATGTTTGTGTATACATATAATATATACCCTAAACCCTCAAGCCTACTCTTGTAACCGTCTTGAAACCTGGCACATGCTGTTCTTGGGGATTCTGTGCAAGGCCGTGGGCCGTTACCCAAGTGGGCTCGGGTCGGACAACAGAACACCTTCTGCAGCGCCTTCTAGACGATGCAGCTTGAAACATCTAGTGAGAATCTAGTGTTGAGTATGGAAAATATATTCGGGGTCGTGTTGAAGCCTCGGCGCCATGACAGCTTGAAGTAAGGTCCATGGACATGCCAATAGATCACAGCAAGCACGGAGCCCCGAGCGGCGCATCAAAGAGCGAGCGGTCACGTCTGCGGCCTTACCTGCCGTAACCCGTGGTGGTCGTTGCCAGTGACCTGGCCGTTGGACCCGGTCCCCGCATGGTGCGTTTTTGGCGGGTATCGAGGAGCAACAGCCCAGTCTCAACATGTGGCCTCGAAGCCATGTTGCTGCCTCGAGGGTGCGAATCTCGCAAAGTGCAAAGTCTGATAATCTTACATAGGCTGGCCGGCAGTCGTCTGAAACCCTTCCGCGCCCCAAAGGTCAACTCTGCGCGGCTGTGGCCTCCAATCGGCTCAAGGATCTCCTGTGCCTGGGCCTTGGATCGAAACTACTAGAAACTAACAGATCCTCTGACCTTGGAAACCTCTTACATCTTGCGTTTTCATCAGGACAACTCTGAGCGTAAAGCCCTTGAATGTCGCAAATGCTGCCAGGAGTCCGCAGCCAATGCAGGAGATCCTAAGCGCCGGCGCAGCTCGCCAAGACGACCTTGTGGGGCTTTGACTTCAAGGATCGGCTGCTGGAACTCTCATATGCAGCAAGCACGGCGGCGGCAGTCTCCGGTCGCTGCGCTTTCGGCTTCGCATTCTTTTCACGGCCAAGTTTGCAGAAGCGAGGGGACTCCGGCAACGGAGTGCTAGAGGCTGGCATTACTGTCGTCCTCGCTTACAAAAAAGCCACAGAGCCGAAGCGAGTGAACAGAAAAGCAGGGAAGGCTTAAAATGCAAGAAAGCACGCAAACCACCAGCACAAGCAGCGAACACAACCTCCGGAGTTTCCGGCCAAACGAGTGGAGCAGTGGAACAGCAACTAACAACCGAGGTTTTCAGCAGATTCCTGAGACCCGTGCTGAAGGCACTGGGAAGGTCGGCGGAGAGCGTTCCATGGCGGTCCTTTTGGACACTTTTCCCAGAGAGCCCAATACTCCTTAACTAAGGAATATACCTTACATTAAGTATATTCCTTAATTAAGGAACAAACCCTAAATCATATAGTAGGAACCCTAACATGATTTAAGGTCTATTCCTTAATTAAGGGATATTGGGCTCTCTGGGTTGGTCATGCGCTTGGAAGCTGTTCCCTCACAGGTCTCCGCTTTCCCTATGGGATCTCTGAGGTCCCGGCAGGCGATGACTGCAAAGACCTGGCTGGACAGGTTTTTTTTGTTTTATCACCTCTTTTCCTTCGCCTGAAAAGACAGGGGTTTAGGGTTTTTGCTTTTTTGGGGGGGCCTTTTTCCACCTCGCAACAAGTCACTAGGCAGAGAGCCTCAATGAGGCAGGCTGTGGGGTTTAGGGTCTAAAGTTTAGGGATCTAAACGAAGAATCAACTCCACGACAAGCCTGAATCTGAGCGATCAGGCAACGGTCAAACTTCACGGTCGTCCTCTCTCAGCTGCCACGAACCGCCCCACAAGCCTTGCAGCTTGTGCAGCTTCGTGTGACACGGGCTCCTCCGGGGTCCTGTCCGAACAGTGAACAGAGGAACGTCAAGACAATGTGGAAAAACTAACAAATCATGACAGCACGTTTAGTTGGAGAAACTGCGGAAGTTTCGGACGACTATGGAAAGATGAAGTGCCAGGCGCTAAGAGATAGACCAAATGCGTTTTTTGGTGAATGCTTCGGTCGTTTGGGTGCCCTCGGATTCCATGGGGGGTGTAGAAATACCCGTAACCCTAAACCTGAAAATCCGAAACCCCCCGAACCCTCAACCGCCTCCTGAAGCCCTACATGCTTAGACATGCGAAGCCTCTCCCCTCAGAAGAAGCCTTTTGAATCAATCGCTTCCGGGTCCTGCTCGCCACCGGCTCCATGGAGAAGGGCAGGGAGCCTCCATCCCAAAAGTAAGGGAGAATGCACGGTTTAGGGTTTAGGGTTTAGGGTTTAGGGATACGCCA